ACATTAATGATTTCTTTTGACAGTAAACTTGAAGATTTGAGAAATACAATTCAAAATATATTCATCTGAAACATCAACTAATGGATTCAACCGAGTCAAGTAATTAAAAATAGTTTATTGATCAAAATGAGATGGCTATCTTTTATAAACGAAGGTCAGAATCTAATCGAAAATCATTTGCCTGAATATGTCTAAAAATACATCAACAACAAAACAGTCGAAAAGATATAATCCATATAATCACCTAGAGTAATAATGAGTCAAAACAAATAGAGGTTAATTCACAGTGTAAATAAAAAGTTAGGATTAAAACTAAATAAATAAGAAGTACTGATTAGAGACACAAATATCTAATTAAATCGTTGTCTTTTTCTCTTAGATACATTTGAAGCAGAACGAGTACGATTATTAACTTTTGAAGATTTAGATATAATGGAATTTGATTTGATTGACGTGGAGTTGGTGAGATCAATGGAGTTGTCATAGTTAACTCTGCTTGACTATCATTTTCTTGATCATCATCGGTGTTGTGATTGTCGCCTGAATTTTGTTTTTTACCGATGATCAATGAACATTTGCCGGATTTGAAATGTCGATAGATATTCGAAAACTAAATCAAATGATCTTTTTTTAGTACACAAGATTTTTAAAAGATTAAATTATTCAATCTCTTACTATAAGAATTCCTGGTTTTTGTGTAATAGCATTTTTCGTGCCACATTTACACCGACTAAGATAATTCCATCTCGTTGTTTATTTAATTCAACAAGAAAATCGATACCTTGTTGAAAATTCATCTTCATAAAATTTAGTTCCTGTTGGTTTTTCTTGAGCCAATCGATAATAGTTGTTGAAATTCTATTTGACATCTGATCTATAAGAGGATTAGATGTAGTTGAAAAATAAAGTGATGACGACTTAGATGAATTAGCAAACATTGATATATCTGATGATGAAGGTATATTAATTGTCGAATAGTATGTCGGTACAGTTGTTGTTGCTAGATTGGACGAAGTGATGCTCGGAGCTCTTTTAAGGAGTTTGATGAGATTACTAATCGATGATTCAAGACCTGGTAGAAGAGCAACGGATCCGTCACGTAATGTAATGCACATTTTTTTTAAGATCATTTAATTGATCAGATTCAAGACGAACTACATCAGTACATTCTTTACATCCAATAAATGAGTCACCTCCATTGCAATTTTGAAAGGCCAGCAGCTCTGCCACTCGCTTTTCAGAAATTTGACGAATAGAATCATAAAATGCTTCATCTCATAGATCCATATTTTTCAAAGGAAGTACTTTTTGTATCCATATGTAAATATTTCGAAATAGGCGTATCAAAAACACCAAAATTAAGAAATGAACAGTTCGTCTGTGAGTTTGTGTGAACAGATGGATATGAAATGATAATAATAAGAGAAAGAGATATTTATTTTTTTTTCATTCTGTGTTGTGTCACATGTACGCATGACCATACGACAAGAAAAAAGAAAAATATCGACTGTCGATTGCTCATCATGGCTGTCCTGAATTTATAGAATATACGACGATATAGTTCTTTCTGCACTGACAACTATTATGTAGAGTGAATGACAATTAGCGTTATTGTTTTCAATAAAAATCAGTTTATTCTGAATAATTATTAATAGTTACTCTTGATTGACAATGATTATTTTGGTTGCAATGAGCTTTTCCCCCTTGTCCTAGAATATCACAGAACCACTACAAAAACCTATGAATATCTCGATTTCCATAATTTCTCAGTTCGCCATCTTCTACAATCCTTCAAATCTGATCTAGTCCACCATCGAAAATATTAACCTTGATATCAGACATTTTTTCATGTCGTGAAATCCTAAAAATCGTGAACGCGCAAATAAAGTCCTATACTCTCTATAAAGGGTTTTCTGAAGAACACAATTTTCTTGACTACTCAGTAAGACATCTTTTTAAATCCTTCGAATCTCATGGAATTCACCATCAGGGTCTATATTCTGAAAACCGATATAGTATCTTCTTAGGGCATCCTTGAGTTCGTTGCTGTGCGATAAGAGTACTATAATCTCTATAACAAGTTTCTGGAAGAACATGATTTCATTCATCTTCCAGCTCGAGATCTTTTGAAATCAGAGGGTCAAACAGTCCATTGAGCCTACCTGACGTGCGTTTTCTGCATTTTCAATAAAAACAACTTCATTTCTTGAGTAGAAAGTGCAAATTTCAAAATTTAATATCGAGAATTTTTGCTCTGGAATGTAAGAAATGACTTTTGCATCAATTTAACTCAGCGCAATCATGAGTAACAATAAATTATCATTCAATTGTTCATTGTTCATTCATTTATTTAGTTTATTTATACGTTTCGGTAGATTAAGGATCACATTTGTTAAAAGGTTGTTCCTAAAGTTTTACGTCAAGCATTTCCGCAGTATTACATATATATAGTTTCTTATGCGTTCCGACTAAAAAGTGATCGTCCACTTCTTCATAAAATTCCGTAAGATGATTTATATTGAAAAGCAACTATTTCTAAACGTTGAAAGCTTCTATCTTGTTCCCACTCAATACTGATATACCTCAATGAATGAATAGATGTTTCATTTCGTCATGCTATTGTGATATCAAAACACTTTTCTCTCTTCTTACAAAGACAGTTTTCTACTTCCACTCAATTATTATCCAATTATTGGTACACAAAAAGAAAAGACCCAACTCATCAAGCAGACAGACCAGACCGATGAAAATCAAAGGAAGAGACACGACCATAAAAAGCTTCATAGGCTATCAAGTGCCAGCAACCTGTGAAGAAAATAAGAATATTTCCATCTCTGCGTCGACTACACATTTCATAGAATCCAAAATGAACTTGACTATTCTCCATGAAAGCTACTACTCAAAGCCATCCGATCCTCGGAATCCTTGGATATCTATAATACTGCCGTACCCTATAGCCGCATATTCGACGGCTTGCAATTTCCATGTCGTTTAGCTTCTCGATGTTCTGGACATCTTCCCAGGTCCAAGATGTACGGCGGGAACCTGCCTGATCCGGTGAATTTCCGGCTATTTCAGGGTGGCAGTATTTCCAAATCGGTTCCAGCTTTCGTTTCCTACTTAATTCCCGCCAGTTCCGGAGTCCGAAAGTGATGGCCAGATACGGATCCCTGTTTCCGGTATGGTTCCAGCGCCTGGTTCCAGCGACATATGACGACGACAGGATACGAGCCATAAACTGTCGTTTCCGGTATGGCTACGAAGCCCAGATCCCGCCGTTTGCATTTCGGCTATGCAGTTCGGATCTGATCACAGGATACGACAAGATAGGACTCGGATCCCGCTAGTTCCAATTGAATGGATTCAACTTTTCAGTAACACCCACACTCACACACATGCACACCAACACCCACACCCACCCACACCCACCCACACCCACCCACACCCACACCCACACCCACACCCACACCCACACCTCACACCCACACCCACCCACACCCACACCCACACCCACACCCTTAATAAAAATTTAAAACAAAAGTTATTAGATATTGGTAATTACTCTCGTTTAACAACGGACATTGTATATCTAGAAAAAGAAGCTCAAAAGAACTGTAGTTGTGGAACAGATCATAAATGTTCGGGAATATGTCGAATATGCGCTGCAGAAGATATGAAAAAACAAAATCTATGTGTGTTTTTTAGCTGGACACTATGGTGAACATAAATGTAATGCTAGTCATATATGTACAAAATTTTGTCAAATATGTGAAAAGCATGGCTTTTCAGATAATAGATGTCGTTTTGCATATGAACACAAAGAACCAGATTATCATCAATGTGAACGCATTCATCAATGTCAAGCAACATGTATTTGCAACGATCCATGTGTCATACCAGTAGAACTCACATCACATAATGTTCATCAATGTAATAAGAAAGATTGTTGGAAGCCATGTATATTTTCATGTGGTAACTCATGTGCAACTCAAGATCATAATCAAGATATGACAACAGGATTAGTTATGATAACAATTGATGATAAAACTCATCAAGTAAAAAAACATTTATGTAATCATCTTCATTACTGCAAAGGCAAATATGACGCACCAGGTGTTTGTAAACAAGATTATAGAATACAACAAAGAAAATGGACAACAGAATCTGGTGAAGAATTCATCTACGATCATATTGAAGTAGAAGAAATTCGAGATCAATGTGGAATCCTAATTCCAGCAGGAAAATCTTCTCATGGTGATACTACACATCATTTATGTGATGGACAACATACTTGTCAAGAAAGATGTCCTGATTGTGGTTCATTTTGCAGAAATTCTCAAGGTCATGATGGACTTCATAGAACACTTCATCGAAATAAAGAGCTACACATATTTACAAGTACAAATTCAACTGATCAAATTGAAATACGTTCAACTGAACTAGAAGAAACTTCTGTTAGAAAATATAAAGTTGAAGAATCAGCAAAACCAGAAAACTGTAGTGTATCTTGCAAACGTCGTGGTCGATCACATTTTCATTTAATTGAATGTCCTGGTGACTCGGCATGCTTGGAAAAGTACTTGGTAATAAAGCAAAACACTCTAATGACACATATTATTATGGACTTGATATTCCAAGTACAAAAAAATATGATAAAATTTTATGTTCTACATATTGGTCACACCATAAATGGTTTCCACCTGTTAGTGATGTTGATAGAAAGTTAATTGATTTATGTAACACATACTGTGCAAAGCATGTTGTACGAGACAAAAGTGATTTGATTGCTAAAGATTCTCGTAAAGCCTTTTATACATTAGACGCTTGGCGTACTGGTAATCATGCATTTGAATGTCAAAATGATCATCATGCATTAGAAATGTATCAAGGTATTGATATATGTTTTGTTATTGACACAACTTCATCGATGGCACCGTACTTTAAAAGAGTGAAAGACACTATTACACGTATTACTCAAGATTGCTGTGCCCTACTGAAACAAATTAAATCAGGATCCGATTTTCGATTTGCTGTTGTGGATTATCGAGATCATATTCCAGAAGCTGATTATATTTGCTTTAAATGCGATTTTACAAATCATATAGAAGCTAATACTTATGTGATGAAATTAGCAAGTGGTTCTGGAGGTGATCCTCCAGAAGCCGTACTCGATGGTCTTGATGCAGCATGTGAATTAAATTGGTGTGATAACGCTGATCGTTTGTTGTTCCATGTTTTGGATGCTCCGCCACATGGTAGAATATATCATACATTCTCAAATGACAAATGGCCCGATGGTTGTCCATGTGGGAAAACTGCTCAAAATGTATTATCAAAGATGAAAAATAAAAACATCTTCTATCATATATTGCACTGTTCAAATTATGTGCATATGATGATCAGTGAATTTAAAAATCACATTGATGTGAAAACTTTAACATTCGATGATAGAATTATGTTTGCAGATGTTATTGCTACACAAGTTCATCGACACTTACTTGATACTGAAGTGACATTGAAAAAAA